ATATATATGCATGTATGTAAAGGAGAGGACGAATCGTGCATCCAGTCTCATAGGTTTGCCTTGCTAACGTGCTGAACCTGGCCCTGAACCTTAGGACTCGTTTAACAGATACACTTCACGTGATCGTAGGAGGTCGAACGATAGACAATAAGAACGTTATATATGTATATGTATGTGTGTCTTTATAGTATATAATAATTTCTATATCTTCGAAAAATGATCATCGTATTGATGTTAGAATCCATTATCATGAAAATGGTATTCTTTTAAAAGGGTTTGATTTTTCACGCTAAAAAGAAAATTATTAAAATATATTTTAATTGGAAATTAAATTATATAATATTAAAGTATAAATATAAAAATAAAAAATAAATATTAATGTATAATATTAAATATGAATAATAATAAAAACACATAATAGAAAATATATATTTTAATTGGAAATTAAATTATAAAATATAAAATATAAATAAAATATATTTATATATGTATAAATAAATAAAAAAGTATATAATATTAAAGTATAAATAAGAATAAAAAATAAATATTAATATATAATATTAAATAATAATAATAAAAATATATAATATAAAATATATTTTAATTGGAAATTAAATTAATGTTGCTTTTTCTTTTGTATGACGTGACTTTAAAAAAAATAAAATAAAATAAAATAAATAAGAAGAAAGATAGATATATTAATCTTAATTTTAATAATAATTATAACGTTGCTTAAAAAGAAAAAAATTAAATTAATTCATTTAACATAAAAAATCTCACCTATCTTAAAACATGAAACCACCTAAATTTCTTTTACGATTAAAGATAATCAAAAGAAGATTATTAAACGAAAACCTACTCAACCTTCTTGTCTTTAATTGTTTCTTTTTATTATTATTATATTATTATTATTATTATTATTATTATTATTATTTAACGTTTTAAATTTATAATTTTGAGAAGATGAAAGTAATTGATACTTTAATAGTATCTGATAAAATTAATGATCGATAATCTATCTCGCATTTCCTTTTTATCCTGTCTGTCCGTAAAATTTAAAGACCCTCTCTTCTCTCCCTTTCTCTCTCTCTCTCTCTCTCTCTCTCTTTCTCTCTCTCTCTCTCTCTTTCTCTCTCATGAAAACCAAGACGGAATTTTATAGCAGGTTATAAATATATTTCGTGACAAGTGGGCGTGTAATATTTACAGTCATTATTTACAGTCAAATCTGTCGAATTAACATTGCGTGTAACGTGCTCGTAAATAAAAGCTTCGCGAGAGAAGTTTGCGTATTACTCTTTTAGAGTCTCGAGGATACATATCTTCTTTCTCTCTCTCTTTCTTTCTCTCTTTCTCTCTCTCTCTCTCTCATTCTCTCTATCTATCTTTTTCTCTCTTTCTTACTATCCTTCATCCATTTATCGTGACGATTCAATCGACTCCTTCGATCGAACTCATCTCACGTTTTCTTTCTCTTCGTTTCAATTCTTTCCTCACACTCCTCCACCCCCCCTCCCAACCACCCAACTCCCCCTCAAACTTTCGAACTTCAAAATCTAATATATTATCTTTAAGAACGTGTGGCAAATTTTGATATAGGTTCAATTTTTCAATAGTAATTCGTATTTTAATTAATATTCATTTTAATGGATAAGAAGGATAATATTATTTCGTTTTTGTATAATTTACATGTTGTATAATTTTATAATTTTATTTAATTAAATAAAATTTAATTTTAATTATATAATATTTAATTAAAGTATCTTTTATAGATACTTTTCGTGTATTATCTATTTTTTACAATTAGTGGTCAAATGTTTAAAATAAATATATGTATATATGTATATTTTAAAATATATTAATATTTTAATATATTTAATATATATTACAATATTTAATATTTAAAAAAAATATATATATTAAATATTATTTTAATAATATTGTATATAATATATATAAATATATATATAATATAATAAAATTTAATAATATATAATAATATTTTAATATATAATGAAATTTTAATTCAGTTGGATAGAGAATGAATAATTTTCTTAGAAAAAAAAAATAGTTTTCTTTTATTAATGAATAAATAACGTACAATTTAAAGCATATTTTTTTTATCACATACTTTAGGGGAAGATTAATTATCTGCATTCACATGAAATTTTCTTTTTCTTTTTCAAAATATTTGATTCATTAATCTATTCGATAACCTATATAAATGATTCGTTACTTTCTTACCTGTGTTTTCTATTTCTCATCTTCCCTTTCCCTTCATACTTCTGACAATCTGTGCTTTTCTACTTACACTAACAATGAAACTCATCAGAAAAACGGTACGTCACCCTACTAGCTAGAAATTACCGCCTTCTAACCAGGAAGAACATGGACGCTTAACAGCGACCTTACAAGAGCCTTAATTATTATGGTCTTCTTCTATGTTTCTTCTTCTCTTTGTCTAATTTCTTCGTTCAATGACTACATAATTTTCTTCATCTATCCCTTTCTCCCCTCATTTCTTCTTCCTCTCCCTTTCATCTTCCCATTCTTCAACTCTCTCTCTCTTTCTCTCTCTCTCTCTCTCTCTCTCTCTCTTTCTA